GCATTTGTTCTTGAAAGAGTCAAAGTAATTCAGTTCGCACATCACAACAAATGCTGAAGTTAGCCTGGAGCAAGCAAATTGCCACATACCCTTTGACTTTTTTGTGGACCATACTGGATTGGGTCAAATGCGTCATAATGTGAAGCATACCTTTGTCCAATATTATACCGCAGGACATTAAATGGCTGCAACATACAGTAAAAGCAAATAGTTAATCAATGAAACGTTATAAATGCTCATTTTTTCATGCCCTTTTCTAATAGATTCTAAATGATCCCCAACATTGTCCTTTTCAATGGGGGTGCTCAAAATTTGCGGAAAGGAATATATCATCCATATATCAATATGATCTTCATTCCATGTAAGGGGCAAGTACATGTGTAGCAATAGAAAGATTAAGTTACTGCAAAGATTATATCTAAAACCACAGACACTATAGAAACTTCCTGTTAGATCCTAATGAACAATAAGATTACTTTCAAAGTTATATTCGCATTTGTGGAAGATAACACTACCATATTTTTATTAAGCGACACTTCATATGCCAGTACCAAATCAGGAAACTACAAAAGGTGCAAAACTTATACTTCAAGTGAAATCCAGTATGCCATGGAAGGATTGAATGCACTTTTCTTTAGCAGCCAATGCATGATAGATTGATAGCACTTGGCAGAAATGATAAATTAACATGGATTATAACTTCTGCTTTTAGGTTGGGACTATATTGTTTAATAATTATTTTTCTCCCTGTAGATCACTACATCCCTTGTTATTTTTTACTATAACTATTGAGTTGGTTTGTTCCCCAGTGTGCTGGTTCTCATCAGCAAAAAAAAAAAAAAAAGTTCAAGAAAAGGGGACAGGAAAAAAAGAGAGAAAGAGGCACATGTAGATTCCTACAGCTAATCAATTCTCTGACCAAACTTGGAATAATTAAACCACAAAATATGGTATACAAGTGCAAATATTACGTAGTACCTCCCCATGATTTCGGGGTAACATGGTAGCCCTTGCAATCTTCTTCTCGATTTCTGCAAGGGTTCTAGTTGGGTCTTCATTAGCACTGAGGAATGTTCCCGAACTGTTTGGCATAAGGATCCATCAGTTCAATGAGGCCCAGAAAATGCCACAAGCTAGTTATTTTCATGATTGTGTGCGGAAGACAAATTGGGTATAAAAATGTCTGAAAATATAGTTCATGAAAACTCTAAAGATCAAGAATACTAATAATCCAACACATGCTCCTAAAAATAGGCAGTTCTGAGATGGCATTGCTCATTGCAGCATAAGTACAATCCACAGAAAAAGCTACTGCAAAATCTCTCTGCAGTAATAAATGTGGACTGATTTGTCAGCCTATTTGGTTATTCCTTTACTGCACTTACTCTTGGACTTTAAGGTTACCTTGTCCTGATTCCTTTTGTACTCTCCGCGGTTTCTCCTTTCCTCAGGGCTAATGTTGATGGCTTCAGTCGCTCCTTTGCAGTTTTTACTATATTTTCACACTGTTCTGATGTCGCAAATTGTGGAAAGTACAAAGCACGAGGCTGCCAGCTCAAAATCTGCTCAAGAGTTCAGAATACATTATTAAAACAGCACAGGTAGATTTCAGGAACATAATGACAAATGGAAAAAACCCCAGCAATTTCTAGTGAAGCTGAGGTCATGGTGTATTATGTAGCAGAAGAAATACAATTAAAGATATTACTGAATTCTTACCCTGCAAACAAGTACTGTTAGCCTGCCAGGATATAGGATGCACAGCCATAAGCTAAATGTCAGAAGTCAGATGCGTATCTCGTGTCACGGTGAGAAATCTAGGGTGTATAAATTGTTCGCACGATATCAAATCAACCCATTCTATACCTAAAAAATATGCTCAATGTAGCCGATACTCTGCAGAATTGTTCGATGCATAAACACAATAAAATCTAAATGTGCTGCATCCATTCATTGCAACAACTGTTCTTGAGTAATAGGGACCTACATTAGCATACGATGATGGCAAAACAGGGATACAACTGTGATTGGTGAGGGTGCCACGAAAGTCCCATAACACCCACACCTCCTGCATTTTCCTCTTATGTCAGGAAGCCTGCTAAATTTGAAATGCTAATCAATCTTCCCAACACGCAAGACCACGAGGCCACGAAAATTGCATGCACGCAACTGACCCCCAAACTCCACGAGGCACCCCAAATGGATCGCTGCACGATACCATTCACAACAAATACCCAAAAGATGAATTCTACCAACCGAGGAATGTCGCCACCAAAGGCAGTTCATCATGAGCTAGCTTAGAATTCACGAACACACGTGCCCGCACCAATGCTCATCACGCCGAATGTTTGACAAAACAATTGGCAAGCGAAGACGGGGCAACCGCCCCTCGCGGAGATGGAACCGGAACGAGACGTCACCTGGTATGGGATTAACGACGGCGCAGCCTCGCCGGACTCGCCGTATGCCATCTCAGGCCACGCCGTCTCCAGCAGCCGCTCCCTCGGCACCGGCATGTCCGCCTCCTCCGGATCCTGCACCGCGCCACCCGCCGCACCGCAGCCAGCCCACCCAGATCAGGAGCGGCGCTACAAGGCAGCTACGAATCGGAGCGTGGCACGGGGCTCGCCGTCGCGTACCTGGGTGAAGAGCAGCGAGCCGAAGAAGCCGGCGAGGAAGAAGAGGGAGCAGGAGAGGAGCACCACGGGAAGCCGCAGTCGCGTTCGCATCAGACCCGCGCCGCCGGCACCTCCGCCGGCGGCCCTGATGGCGCCACCTCCCTTCATTCCGCGCGCTGACGGAGACGAGGACGATCCGGCGATGAGAGGAGAGGTTGCTCGCGTCGCGTCACGGGAGGAGGCGGGTCTTCTCTGAATCTCTGAATGGAGCGAGTTTATTTGTTCGTCAGGTGTCCGAGCACTGACGGGTGGGACCGAATACTCGATAGACGGGACCGGTGCGCGACGTCACGTGCCGGTAAAGAACACGCAGTCAGTTATGGTGGGCCCAGGCACAATCGTCGACGGGAGGGGCACACAAGTCTACAACTGCTGCTGCGTCTCGTACTTGCTTCACAGTTGAGAGTGGAATAAGTTCTCCTCTTTTTGCTCGAAATGGAATAGGAGGAAAAGTTAAAGTGTGAAAAAAATATATAAGAGCTAAATCCTTGGAGCCGTTGGTCTAAGAAATATGGCCCATCACCTTCCTAACCTTCACTTATTTTTATTTGTGATGAAATGGAATAGATTAATCTACCACCATCTCAGCCCTTATAAGTAATAATCAGCGTGCAGTATAGAATTATTTCATCAAAATTAATAAAGTAGGATGAACTCAAGACGAACCAGCTCGTTTATTACTTGGTGGTAAATTCAACATCAATGAGAACGTAAGTGCAACAGCAAACTACTGTACTTATCATTTATCAACATCAATGGGAACGTAAGTGCAACAGCAGTCATGTGCGGAGAGAGATACACCAGATTACCATTTGGAATCCGACATGTGTCCGAGGTATTTCAGCAGATTTTCTGAGGACACGCCAAATACCACTTGAAATTGGTATCCGACATTGGTATGTATATAGGTAACTGAGTACCATAAAAAATAGCTCATATTACATAGACAACCAGGCCTAATTACTGCAGTGCTAATGAAAATAATTTAAGATCAACTGACAATGTATGGTTAGCAAGACTGATAACTAGGTCATAACCAGAAGGTTTCGGTTGTTCAAATGCTTACAAAGGAAATGCTTCAACTACATCAATGGGATCTTTATAAAATAAATAAGTTTCTTGTTTCACTATATTCTTTTCCATCCCTCCTGTATTTTTGTCACGTCCATTACTCAATTTCTCAGATCGGATTCCTCGAAGCAGTGCTAAAAGCCTCATATGTTCTTGTTTCCCAAAGCCATAGCTAACACATTCCTGGAGGTACAGCGCACCTTCAGGTGGTAACAGATCAAACAGACCTCTAGTTGCAGACTTGCAGCCAAGAAATGCAGATAGTTAAAATTAAGAGTGCAAGGTTTACATCGACGGGCCGCGGCTGCGGCTGCTGGCTTTTTCTACTCCTTGCTTCCTGCCGCTGGTTGCTTTACTGTTGCCTGTGCTGGTTGCAGCTGCAGCCAGCTTGCCAAGCAGGCCCGGGTCACCATAAACAAGCATAGGTAGGCAACTCATAAAAAAAGGGCACGTGCATATCGTTAATCAATCTATCTGCAGGATAGTTCCAAACTAGACCTTTCTGAGACGAGACACAGCTGCAGGTATAGAATGAGTTACTTTTCAAAATAGACAAAGCCTTATTAAGTCATTCGTGTAAAGGGATAACAACCACCCCTCAAAGAAGTACCAGATAACATGAAAGTAGTCCTGAACTTGAACTGCACACTACATGAAAACGGGATGCCAGCTTGGCAACAACATTTCCTATATGCCCAAATTTAGCAGGTGTAACCACCTCCTTATTGATCCAATGTAAAATCAGTATGAATTGGTTCTTCACACACTCCTTTAGTCTGCACATTGCAATAGACTTTTAGATGACAGAGCACAGTTGTTGTTCGGTTGGTTTGGATTGAATTATATTAGTTTCTTATAAACATATACCAGATGTCCAAAGTGGTGGATAGCACCATCTATGTGTAAGTTACATGCCACTGTTAGCTAAGAAATATGCATAAACTGAAGTCGAAGACATTGCAATGTAGGGTTCTAGCTATCTTACCAACAGTGTCAGATAATTTATCGTAGGCTCTGCAAATCCTGATATCATGCTCTATATCAAACAGGCAGAACAGTCAATAGTCTCAGAAAGATGTCCTTATCAGCTGTCTTTTCAAGAAAGAGAATTATTGTCTAACTATACAGTGGCATACTGAAAAGCCGCTGCTCAACAGAACCAGCAAGGGGTGTCAGGTGTGACACCACAGGTTCAGTCTAATTGTTAAAGCAAGATAATGAATTCCCCAAACAATTATTGTCATGGTGTCCTCATGTCAACCCCTTCTCCCCATTAATGATTTTTTTGAACATCTGACGAATATGAGATAAGGGCAATTGCAGGAAACTAGTCACATTCCATTGTCTTCTTCCAGCATCTTCAAGATCCAAAGATCTGTAGGCCAGAGCAGCAAGATACATTGCTGGATGCAATCTCCTGCAATTCCAGATTGAAGATCTGAGCTAACAAGTATTCTGGATCTTGTGCATATCAACCAAACAAGCCAATTTTAGTCAGTAAAACACTTGTGAAACTTACTTTTCAGAATGTTCATTGAAACCATCCCACTGTCTTTGAGATGGAATTGTCCTCCCTTTCTTGTCTCTCCCAAATGTTTCGATATACCATCCACCAGTATCATGCATGTAACAACGAGGCTCAAAAAGCCAATACCTGTGAAAGAGGAGTTATATAAGAGGACTGGTTGCTGTTGTCTTCAACAATGATATTTGGGCATGTCTTTTGCCCTGAAATGAATTTGTATCAGATGCAATTTAGCATGCATTACTTGCTGGGTTACTTCAAGACTAGGGAAAACTAGAGGGGTTGTTTTTCATGGTTCGGAATACTACTTCTGCTTGATCTATTACTCAATTATACATATTTTTTCAAATGACAAGGACATCCACTCTGGTCCTATAACAAGGAAGTCTCGGATCATAACTCATTTTGCTTTGACTTCATAAAATGGTAGATTTAGAAAGGACAAAGATTTACTTCCATGTCCTTACCAATCATATATGTAGCTGAACAAAACGGCATCTATATTTCTGTTGCACATAAAAGTAATGTCGGGCAGCATCAGATCTTCTAAATTGTTTAACCTAAAGGTTTCAAATTTAAGGCTTATACTCACACCATTGCCTCATCAGCATTTCAATCATGTTTGGAATGACTAATTTGCGTGCATGGGTGCTCAAGCAGCATAGTAAATTATGCATACCTGCTAGGTGGCAACCGAGCCCTACTACATCGACACTCACAGGGTGAAACTTTATCTCCAACCTGATACCAGTGCATGTGTTTAACCTGCGCAACATATGCATGCAGCAAAAATTCAATACTATAGAAGCCCAAAGATTACTGTTGCACCATCATGTGGTCATATAACAAAAGGCACCATTTATTTTGCACGAGTATTTGAATGATGTACGCAAATTTTGTAGAAAAAATAATGTGCATAGTATAGGAATGCTTTCATAGTTCATACCATCAATGTCCGGTGCTTCATTATGACATGTGTCTTTATGCCGTGACCATCATAGACACAGCAAGATCCTTCCTCACCAGTGGTGGCTAACCCAGTAATTGTGCCTAGGAGAAGATTCCCTTGTGTTAAATCAGATAGATCTGCGTTTGGAACAAGATACACATGAATGTGATCTTCCACATCCGATTTGTCAATGCAATCGCATTTGGGGCTCCTAGTCGCAGTAGCAACTAATTTCCCAAATATCCGCAACTCAATATCCTTGAAGGCATCTGATGAAGGAATATCATTTTCATGCCACATCTCTTGCTTGTTCATATCAACAGGATTCATAGATATTGAATCCTTATTCACATTTCTTGAAACATTTGGAGTAAATTCAGAAGATCTAAAACCAGAGGGCGCTAGTTTTTCACGAGAAACGTCTGACAGCTCTTTGACACTATCAGCTACACTAACAATACCAAATAGATCACGACCTGATACAAGGTGTAATAGCTCAGAGGTTTCATAGACGGACCTCTCCTCAGCTTCAAAGCAATCAGGAAGGACATCCATGGAGTCGACATCAGGGCCATAGTATGCAGCATGGATTGCTGTGTACAGTTCGCTTTCGAGCCTATCAAAATAACCAGAGCCAGTGGCAACCCTCTTCTTGGTAACTATGTCATCAATGGTAAGCCTGTACCATTTCAGCCATTCAACGACATTGCTCTCTCGAGGTACCACAATGCCTGAGCCTGAACCACTTGGGTACACGAACTGAGATGGCCTGGGATGTTTCTGCACAATTCGCCTCTGCGATCGCAGGTAGCTATCATAATGAGCCCTTCTCTGTGAATCTGACAAAATCTGCAATACAAAAGCCTGCTAATTAGAGCTGGAGCAAATTTTGTTCACCCAGATTTGTGAACATAAAAAAATTCAATCGCATCCTCAATAATGAAAACTCAAAACAATTATTCATCGCTTCACTCATAATCACTAATCAGTTATCAGTGGGTTCATGGTAAAATAGAATACCTATCATCGGAGAAAAAGCCTGTCAGCTTAGTTTAATTAGATACCTCGTAGGCGGCGAGGATCTGAAGGAACCGTCGGGAACCAGCAGCCGCGGCGACGTCTGGGTGCGTCTCTTTGGCTAGGCGATGGAAGGAGGCCTTGATCTCGGCGCTGGAACTGGTCTCCCCAACCCCGAGAACCTCGTAGGCGCTCTTCCCCGCGAGCTCGTCGTCCGCCGGGGCGGAGGTGCTCGCTGGCCGGCTGCGCCACGTGAGAGGAGGAATAGCCGCCTCGCCGCCGCCGATGCGCGGGAGGAGGATTCGCCGGAGCTCCACGGCGCGAAGCGCCATTGAGTTTGCTGCCGACTGCCGCTGCTGCTTCCGTGGTTCTGTGGAGTGGGCCCGAGTGACGTAGGCACTGATGCAACGGCCTTCCAATGCGGTGGTGGATGGAAGGGAGCGTGCGCCTGCGCGAGGGACTGAGGGAGGGAGACGCCCTCAGAAGGCGATGACGTGGAGGCCTCAAAGAGATGCGCCTGGTTCCTTTACGCAGCTGTCTTCACGGACCGGCCCAACTTTATACTTGGGTCGCTAACGGGCCTAACGGTTGATGTGTTATCTCCAGTCGGGCCAGTTTTTAATATTTTTTAAAATGAGACGGAGCTATGTCATATGTAGAGGCTAAGCACCACGACAGTAAAAGTCACAAAAAAAGCACCACAACAGTAAAGATCTATCCACCTAGGAGTACAAGGCAAAACATACCCCGTTCAAATCTGTTTTAGCTCCACTCCTACCGCGTGCATGCTGCATGATCGAACATCATCATTTGTCCATTATGTACAACGACCATAAATTTCTTGTGTAAGCAATATCAATACGTATAGGAGACGTAATAGAATTATAGGAAAACAAATGCGCCGAGTCTATCAAACACTAGGCTTGTGCGCAAAAGAGGCATAAGCCATGCCAAAGATAGATGAAGCCAAAGCCGGCATAAGCCGTGCCAAAGATGCCCTAAAATGAAGCCATCTTGCTGGCCACATGTCTGAGTCCGACACCTGAACCCTAGCAGAACACTAGGCTTGTTCGGGAACACACAGTTGTTTGTTGCGTCGCACGACATTACCCTTGCTCGATCGAAGTGTGATGGGCACGAGAACGATTGCCAAGGACTTTCTAACCTGCCCAAATTCATATATGTCGGAAATCTACTCCACCATGTTACACTTCATCAGTAGTACCTCACAAACTCGTAAAACTCGTTTTCCCTCATCCGCATACACGTACAGTAGTATTTTAGAACCCGCCTTAAAAGACATGTGAAGCCCTACCCATTAGCAGGCCTAGGTCGAAACCCGACGCAGCGCACACTGCGAATGCGGTTTGCAAGACACTCTTGCACCATGTCTTCACCATGGCCGTAAGAAGAGAGGGAAAGTCACTGGATTTAAAGAAGAAGAGGAGAGGAAGAGAAGAGAGAAATTGAGTGTTGTAAGACATTGTTGGATAGCATTTCTCACGAAAAAAAAAAACTTCCGCACAAGGCCACGAGCCTTCCACAAGACCACATCCTGTATTCCCGATGTGGATATACTGGATAGCTAGCCATAGATAGCACTACTGTATTCAGATTCGTTTCGCCGGTTGCCATATCCCAGCCGCTGCCGGCAGAGACAAGAATCCACATACAGCTTTGTGCACGGTACGAAAGCGCTCTGCAGTAGGTTCGCCGGAGCACGTGTGCGGCCCGTGTCATCTGCAGCCGCTTAGAGAAAAGAGAAACGAGGAAAAGAAAAATGCGAGCCATACCACGCTTTGCTGCAGCCTACACCTCCGTGCTATTGAAAGTGTTGTTTTTTTTTATTTTTAGACTTCTTTATTGACGGTTTGTTTTATTTAAATTCTTAATATAAATATTATTTATTTTATTATAACTTATTTTATCATTAGAGATATTTTAATAATAATTTATTTATTTTATTATTTTTATATAAAATTTTGAATAAAACTAACGGTCAATGAAGATTAAAAATAAAAAACGACAGGAGTACGGCTGCTGTTCTGTGCCGTGCCGTGCCGTGCCATGCCGTGTCCCTCGAGGCTCGAGCTCTGGCCTCCCACGTGCCTCTGTCTGCTGACCGCCGCGGCCCACGGCTGCTCGCACTGCGCGTACCCGCATGCCCTCTCCCTCGCCAGAGTCCAGTCAGTCACGGGCACGCGGCTCTGAGAAGTGGCGGGCTCGCCCACTCCGATCTGACGCAACGCGAGTACGTACGCGGCCCAACAAAGCCGCCGCCCCAGGAAAGAGCACCGAAAGGGAGGTCGCCATCGCCATGGTCCCCGGCGTACGACGCCCGACGGCCGGCGCCAGTACTACCGATGCGGCACTGCGTCCGTCCACTCGTGTTCACACGGCCAGACGCCCACACGGCCACACCACACGGGTGGACGGTATTTACTGCCTCCGACACGGGTAGCGTACGACGGTGCGTCGGTACGAATGAATGAATACGCTGTCACTGCCGTGAAGCATTCCAGGCACGAGACGGCCCGGGCCGGTGGGCTTTCAGCAGGGGACGCCAGTGCAAGTGTGCAACTGGCAAAGCGGCAATGTTGCAAGCGACTAGTGCAAAGTTGACGACCTGAAGACCCGCTGAAAGTTGAAAACGCATTGGATCTCGTCTTAGCTTAGGATATATTTGGTTGGATGGATATTATGAATAGAGATAATCGTCCATGGACAGGTGGTGTTTGGTTCGATGGATTGGCTGGACATGGATATCCAATACAGAGAATATTCCTGCTAGATGCTGAATACAGTTGCCACAAAAAAAACTAGCGGATAAGCTTATCCATGTTTTCTAATATTTATCATTAGCAAACAAATAAAGGTTAATTAGTAATCATAATCACAACATTAGTTTTGATAAGTGCTAATATGTTGATTAGCGCACATTTTGTGCTTCAATTAGGGTAGTAGTAGTGCTAATTAACATATTTTATTTTTAATTATTGAGTATCATGATAAAAATAGTGTTAGTGTATAATTAGTTGTTGTTACTTTAAATAATATATATAATTAGTTAATTATTCTCATCTCATTCATTGTCATCCATCCAACCAAACACAATAATGGCTTACCCTATCCATCTAATCAAACAAGCAGCATGGATATCCATATCCCGAAATCTATGGGTGATCATATCTCGTCCGCCCTTTCTTGAAACAAAACCCACCCCTTAGCCATCCGACTTCTGAGGCAATGAAGGTTAGGATCGCATCAAGATCGAAAACAAGTCTGCATCAACGGCTAAAAATAATTACATGATAGTACTATGGGTCTGTCTAAAGCCTAAAATTTAATAATCAAAATACGAGTAAGCCAGTTTTTAATAGTAAAGGTCATATATATCCAACTAACTATTAATTGTGTTAGCCAGGAGAACAGCTAATAATTAATTTATTAGTTGGGTGGTAGTTAAAGGATTAACTTAACTTAGTTAAGGATCCAAATTTTTCGCAGCTAAGTTTTGTAGAGATCCAAACAGGTCCAATGTTTTAGCAGTTAACATTTTAGTAGCTACTAATTTGCTACTTAAGTTCACCAATATCTCACATTCAACTGGCCAAATTTTGGCAAACAATTTTGCCTAATTTGACAAGGCACACTTTGCCTTTGGTAATAAACCAAGCATAAGCAATTTCGGTGGCGGATCAATGGGCACAAAAGATTCGACGGCTTTCCCCCGAACCCGCTGCTGCTGCAACGGTCGAATCTCGCTCCTCCGCGCCTGATGTGTTACGGCTACTTCGGGCCCACTCCACCGTAGCCCAATTGACAGGCGGCCCACCCAGCCAAGAGCCTCGGGCCTACGACTACGAGCCAGCCGCCTTTCTTTCTCCGTTCCACACCGCACCCGAAAATCGCCGGTTACTTCCGGCGAACCACGCACGCACGTTACAGGTGTGTGTGAACTGTGGAGTGTGAACCGTCACGCGGCGATGCAAAGCACGACGCCTTTCGCTCGCTTTCATCCAAGGCCGTGTTCGTCCGCGTCGATCTGGACGAGCAGTTGCCCATGCAATCGTGGAACTCGCCGTCCGCTACGCAACAACCGAACATGGGTTTCGGCGAGAGGAATTGTTGTTTTCTAGCAGTAGTTCGCTTGCGGCCACGGGCAGCCAAGCCATGCCGTCATCCAAGCCGGCGACGACCCACTGTCTGGCTCGTCGACGTCCAACAGCGGCAGCATCATCACGAGACATCATCTTGTTTTATCTGATCTAAAGCTATCCTTATCTATCTGAAAAGCTTCAAGAAATCATTCTCTGTGCCTTTAGAGATAGCTTGGGCAGAAACCCGGAGGCCGTGACGGAGGTGAACAAGTTAATCGCGGTCGCAGACATCAGTTTCTACCTGGTCCTCAGGCTCATGGGCCGGGTCGCAGGGGAAGTTAACAACTGCGACACGATCGATGTGCAACCGCTCTTGACCACTGAATACTTTCACGGATTGCGAGCAGCATCTTTGGCTCCTGGAACGGTCATGTGGTGGTGATGCCAAAAACCAAAAGTTAAAAGCGGCCAGCCATGTGCAGTGCGGCCACTCTCGCTCTCTCTCTTCCCCATCCGTCTCCTCCCTCACGCCTTCCCGTCCGATAGCTACCGCTGTAGCATCGGTCCATCTGGTCCCTTTGTCCGGTTGCAATCATTCGAGACCCCGTTCTTGATTCTATAAATCCACTGTCCCGATCTACCTCAGTCTCACTTCCTCTGCCAAGAATCGCCACTCCGTTACCTTCACTCGCTCACTCACAATGCAGCGCCATGGCGAGGTATGCATGATCTTTGCTGTGGCCGCCGCCGCTCTCTTGGCGGCGGCGGCGGCGGCCCCGGGCGCGGCTGGTCGGGAGGATCGGCAGACCTACATCGTCCACATGTCCCATTCCGCCATGCCGAGTGATTTCGTGGAGCATGAGGAATGGTACGCCGCGTCGCTTCAGGCGGTGTCGGATGCCGCCACCGTGCTGTACACCTACAACACCCTCCTCCACGGCTACTCGGCGCGGCTGACGCGCGCGGAGGCCGCGGCGCTGGAGTCGCAGCCCGGCGTGCTCGTCGTCAACCCGGAGGTGCGGTACGAGCTGCACACCACCCGGACGTGGGAGTTCCTGGGTCTGGACGGCACGGACGCGCTGTTCCCGCAGTCGGGCACCGGGACCGACGTCATCGTCGGGGTGCTCGACACCGGCGTGTGGCCGGAGAGGCCGAGCTACGACGACACGGGCTTCGGCCCCGTGCCGGCGGCCTGGAAGGGCAAGTGCGAGGACGGCAACGACTTCAACGCC